TGCAGGTAAACAGTGAACCGCCATGCAGAACTCACCAAGAACCAAGAAATGGACAATGGAGGGAGACCATGTGAACCACTGACTGTGGACCTTTGCATGTGGCTGGAGGAGGTCTCACAGACCAAGGGACCAAACACTCTGCTATTCCTGGGGCATCTTGCCAGTGACAGCGGGCCCAGGAGATTTTGTCAGGCTACATGTTCGTGTGTCATGTTATTCACTAGGATTTACTTCCCAGGAAGTTTATTACATACAATTGCAGACTTAGGATGCAATTCTATGCAAACTTGTCTGGTGTGAACTCAGTGGTCTCTCCCTCTCTCAATATAGAGAAGAGGATTAGACAATAAGATTTATAGGTCTCCCTAGATAGGTGAAAGCTGTAAATCAAGAACACAGCTGAGTACACCCTTACATTTTTGGAGTTAAATGAACCCGATATGATTCCCATGAATTTTTTTTAAATAGAAAAAAAGGTCATGCAGGACTCAGAAGAGCTGTTTGAAATTTAAAAAAAAATGAAAAGAAAAAATATGTTTTAATGCTGTTATTTTCTCAAGCACCTTGTTGCCATCCCACAGCAGCTGACACAAACTGGGGATTTCCAGAGTGAAGGCATTTTGGCATATACTTTGCACTAACTGTAAACAGAGTTATTCGCCTCTCTCCAAATGTCTCCTAGCAACAGTCCCAAGCATTAACAAAGCCTCACCATTCATGTGTCCTCTAAAAAGAATCTCGGTTCTTGGAAAGTGGTAGTGGATGGGCTTGGCAAAGCAGTGGGACAGAAAAAAGGTGCCCCCCTCCCAACACCAATTTTTCAATCATCAGAAGCAGAGAACAAGGAAATCACAACCAAGGAGAAGCTATTGGTAGCAGCTCTATTTATGAAATGCATTTAAAGCTAGAGGAGCTCTTTGAAATAAATCCCATCCTTAGTGGCAAAGGCCGGGTTGTAATTTTACTGACATTTAAATGAAGCTCGAAGGTTTTTAGAGTTCATGTATGTGGGCAAGCACAAGTCAGCAAAATGTTTCCAACTGAGCACCCAAAACGTGACGAGGACAATGGTGACAATTCTCCAGCTTACTAGAATGTTTAGATTCTGTAAGCAGTAGATGGTGGGTCCATACAGGTGTCCACATCCAAACTTCCTATGATGGTTATAACTCTGCAAGCTGCATTGCCTTGCCTAATTAGGAAGCTTTTATCACACGTCTGCTTGATCTGTCAGGCCAGTTTTACAACATGCTGGCATTAGTCTCTCATTTTTGTTGTGTTTTTGTAATCTGGAAGGAGCACTTTGGGGAAGCCAAAAAGCGGGGCAGATTTCCCCCCACCCCGAAAATAAAATATGGCATGCATACTCATGTGTGGTACTAATCCCCTTTACCACATGGGACCAAACTAACCCTAAAATAGTTTCGACACCGTAGGAGGGTTCTCCTTACTGCAGAGGAACAGTTGTCATGTCAGGTTGTGTGTGCGCATAATCACTCAGAGAAAAGAGAGTTGGTTGAACAGTACACCAGTAGACCAAAATCATATTGGCAGAAAATCCCATTTAAAAAACATATTACTCCTGGCCTTCTGTCAAGACAAAAATCAGTAAGGTAATAGGACAGCTATGAATAAATACATCAGCTGGGCTTTTTATGTAGTGCTTGTAACCAAACATTAAGAAAAGGTAAATATGACAGTTACAATTTCCAGAAAAGTTTTCATAGGGGTGAAACATGGTGTTTCATGAAGGGATTTTAATCTACCCACCTGTGCATTAGACCAGTGTTTCCCAACCTTTTTTGGGCAAAGGCACACTTGTTTGATGAAAAAAATCTCGAGGCACACCACCATTACAGCCCCGTGACGTCAGCGCGCAGCGTCGCGCCGGGAGGGACGCACGAAAGTGTAAGTTTCAATTTTTTCCCCTCCCCTCCTGTGTAAAGGGGAATGCACTCTGCTAAGTAAAGGCGCTTGCCACAGCAGCGTCAACGTCACAGCACCCACCGGCACCCAAGAGAGAAGGGGTCTCAGCAGCCCTTTTGCCAGGAAGAGGAGCAAGAACGAGAGGAGGAGGAGGAAGAGGAAGAGAGTCCCCCCCCAAAAAACATTCTCCTTTTGATCTTCCTTATTTGCAATTCCTCATTGCAAAACAGCGGTTGATATAGAGCTGATTTTTTTGTTATTACAGTCCCCACCCCCTCACCTAGAAAAACACCCCCTGTCAATTTTATTATTATCATTATTATTATTATTATTCCCCGCCACTCTGGGAGGCTGAAGCCCTTTAAGGCTTCCTTCTGTCCACTCTCTGTGAATTACCTGCCCGGAGCGGGTTTCTGGGGGGGGCGCTGCTGCCGGTGTCCTCCCCGTCGAGTCTCGCCTTGCCCGGCACGTGGCGGCCGCCCTTTCCCACACTCTGCCGGCTGCGCTGCCAAGCCCCGCGGCTCGGCCTGTCAGCGTTACCGGGCTTGGCGGGCGGTAATTCCCGAAGAAAGCCGGCGGCGCTTGAAGAGCTGGCAAGCCCCCATTTGCATGTCTGTTTTCCGCAGCCCTTGGAGAGGATTAAGTTCCCTCCTTCCTGCCGGGGAACCTCCAAGCTTTGGGGGTGGGGGGGGAGGAGGCAGCAAAGCGAGGCAGGAAGGAGAGCGCGGCTTGGCTGGGTGAGCTTTGGCAGGGGCAGGGAATGAGAGCCGCGAGGCGGGCGCTGCGGGCGGAAGCGCTGCCCGCCGAGCTCGCAGGCAGCCAGGCAGGCAGACGGCGAGAGCCCCGCGCTGGGCGGCCTCTCCTCGCCGCCCCACCTCTCGCCGCCCGACTCGCCCGCCTCCCTCCCACGGAGGTAGGCTGGTGTGCCGTGGGAGGGAGGCGGGCGAGTCGGGCGGCGAGCACACACGGGGCGGCGAGCGAGCGAGCTCCCACATCCCATCGCCGCTCGCTTCGGCCGGCCTACTGGGTTGTCGCAGGCGGAAGGCCTGCGCATGCGCGAGGTTTTCGCGCCTTCCTCCAGTAGGCCGGCCGAAGCGAGCGGCGATGGGATGTGGGAGCTCGCTCGCTCGCCGCCCCGCGTGTGCTCGCCGCCGCCGCCCCGCCTCTCGCCGCCCGACTCGCCCGCCTCCCTCCCACGGAACACAAGGCAACGTTCCGTGTGCCGCGGAACACCGGTTGGGAAACACTGCATTAGACATCTTCCGTAGGTAATCAGCTGAAGGAAATTCATTGATATTTGTAACCCAGTTCTTAATTCCCCATCTTTCAACGTATGGAAAAAGGGTAAGAAATTTCTATCTGTAAGCTTCCTATCTCCATTACTTGTATGTGGGTGGTCTGAAAACTCTGCACTTTGCCTCCTGGGAGCACCAAGCACACTAGCTAATCCCCTTCCCCTATTATCACATGATGGAGACACACACAATACTGGATGTTATTTGTTTAATCCATTTGTAACTTGATGTGCTTCAGAAAATATACTGTGATCCTCAGGAACTGTTGGAGCATGTGATTTAAGTAATTCATAGCAGACATACTACAAACTCACACCTATGAAGATGGATCCATATCCCATTTATTGTGGGCTCCGAGCTAATCAATGTAATCTATTCAACTTTCCTGCTCTCATTCAAACAGCATTCCCTACAGACACCAACCTTCTTTCCTTAAAATCCAAGGAAAACCACTCCTCTGTATTCTTGGCAGGCCTGCCGCATGGCTGAGCCACACAGCTCAGTTTCACCTTATGCTTCTAACATCAAATCATAATCCCAAAATACAGTCTCAGAACTTCCATCGGTGCCAACTAGGGAAGGTGCTTTTCTGAGAGCAAAGTTTAACTCAACAGGCAGAGTACTAGACTTGAACACTGCAAAGCTAGGCTAGGTTGAAAGTGTTTGGGCTATCTGGTCCATGGTAAAACCACAGGTTTGCATTACAACAAGCAAAATAATTTTGAATCACTGTAAATGTTGGAACATCTCCCAAGACATCTTAGGAAACACTTAGGCAAGGTGCTGAAAATTCTAACTGAAGAACACGAGAATCAGGTGAATATGGCACAGGATCAAATCCAGATTATTTAATAGTGCCTATGTAGGAAAGAGAAGTAACATGTGATTCTCTCCTTGCAGTGAGTATAATGCCTACTGAAACAAGTTTTAATGCTAAAGACAGCCTACTTTTTCCTTTATTGACTGAGGTAGAGTGTGATAAAGAACAAAAATTTAAGTGTGTCCAATATATTAAGAGAACTCCATGTTGTAACAAATGTCAAACATACTGAGCAAAGAGAGCACTAAAAAAACATCAAAAACCTCCACTCAGATACAAGTTTATAGAATTCAAACTACCCCTCAGGGCTTAAAGTCATAAAGGGATATTCTGTAGTATAAAAACGGGTTAAACCATCAGTGCTGCTTGAAGCAGCTCTTGACAGTTGATTCTAGATGGTGGGATGACTGGGCTATACTGGGACTCGATACTTTCCAGGGAATGTATCAACCTCAAAACTTGAACTTGAGCAACTCTCCCTCTGTAGAATTAAGTCAATGGAACTTTTCCTGGAAAGATGGTGGTGTTTTGATTCAATGAATAGGATACTTTTCAACTACTTGATATTTTCTCTTTGCAGGAAGGGACAGAGATGCATTTCACCCAAGAACTATTACTATACCAACTTGAGAAATCTCTCTGGAAATTATACAATAGAACACATCCTAAATTGTAGTCTTCTCTCCACCTCCTCAACAAGCAACCAGTAACACGTTTCCAGCAAATGGAAATTCAGTCCGTATAACTATCTTATGGAATCCAAAGTTTTAGTCCAGTTTGCAATGAGCAGACAAAAGATAGCCAGTGTTATACCAATATTTTCCTACCAAGAACTAGAATAGATTAATAACCTGAATCCACATTAATATTTCAAAGCCCCAGCATAATCTGTGAAAGTAAAACTGGTATTCCAAAGGGAGTCAGAAGTTTTTAAATAATGCCACTAATGCAGTAAATTGTTTCATTTCTATTTGTTTTTATTTTAAAAACTCAAATGTGTCAGTACTCTTAAATAACCATTTCAAATTTGATTTAAATGTACCAGCATGGTTCCAAGCTAGGAAATTTCAAAATCTCTTTGGAATACTAATTTCATATTTATAGGTTTCTTTATTTTATTTTTTATTTTTTTAAAAACAACCTATTTCCCTGAATTGTTTCAAGACAGTTGATGATGTAAATTTTAATATAAAATATTTAGTCACAAAATAGTATTGCTTTTGTATGCACATTGTGGCAAGATTCATTTGCTCTTTTTCAATAAAAACTATACCATCTCCCATAAAATCCTAAACATATCAAGAATTGTGATGCAGAACAGAATTACACATGTGAAACAGGTACCAGCACAACAGTGAGATTATATTACATCAAAAAAATTTTAATGGTCCCAAATATATACTCAACAACTAAGCATACACTCGGGGCAAAATAAAAATATGACACAAAAGTGACCACATCTAGAATTCCATTCAATCTTTAATCAAGGGATAGACAAATCCCTTAGCTCCAAACAAAAATCTGCAGTTTAAAGGGCAAAAGGGAACAGATTATTTTTTTAAAAAAGAAAGAAAGAAAGAAAAGAGGAAACTTATGTTCAGCCCTCCCCCAATGAGTTTTTCTTTAAAACCTGTTGTAGCTTGACTAAAATGTTCAGAATGTATGGTTTCAAAGGCAGGTCTCTTTAGACAAAGAAACTGCTGGCATTCTTAGCTAGTGAAGAATTAGGGCAGAAAAAGCATTTTCTTCAAAGTCTTGTACATGGTCCAAGAAAGCATATTCTGATTGTAACAAACTGAACAGCCAATCCAGAGTTCCACTACCAAAACTCCTGCCCTGTTGGCTTTTACATATATATTTTTTTCCGTTTCCTTCCCTGAGAAAAGGGCAATGTGTGGTCCAAGCTGGAGAGGTCAAAGGCATGTCTTTTCCATAAAGCATAGTATTTCCTCTTCTTCTGCTCCTTCAAATTGGCACTTGACTAGCAGAAATCCATGTTTTAAAAGTTGATCTGTGTTATACACAGTAATTCATTAGAAATTATAGTTTTTAATTATAAACTTTTCCCCCTCTGGAAACTTTGTTTATCCCTCAACCGATATTAAATTTCAGAGCTGTCATTATGAGGACTCTAGCTTTGCTTTCTGTGATAAAGGTATGCTTTCTTCATCATCCTCGTCATCATCATCAGGATAATCTACAAGCCCCACTAGGCCTCCCTGAAAAGAAAAAAAGATTTACAAACATTAGCTATTCCATCCTTCAAATGGACTTAAAATGATCTGCTTAAAACACAGATACAAATTCACAATTTACAATATTCAGAGACAGAAACATAAATGCAATGCATGGCCATTAATTCCTATACTGTGCAAGAGGTTCTTATCTTAACCAAAATATACATACTTAGATGACTCTTGCTAGCAATTAAGGGGCACAATGCTCAGGTATGATGAGCAGCTAAAAGCAGCTGTACTTGGCTGTACTTACATACAAAGGAACACACAATGCTATGCAAGCAAAGATTAATAATGTGGGTATTATTACTATTATTATTAATTGAATTTTACACCACCCTATACCCAGGGGTCTCAGGGCCATTCACAGAATAAAATCAAGATATAAAACCACAAAATACATAATAAAAATAAAAACAACAACCCAATAGCCCCTTCCCAAAAAAAACAATGGGCTGTTCTGGAGGGAAAATATAGTATAACATTATATACATATATATGACAGATGCATGCAGACCAGCCCCATAGTATAAACACACTATCAGATGTTACAATATATATATATATTAGTGGGTCAAAGCAATCACAGCGTTTCGCAGATAAAGACATGCCATCTTTGATGGATTTTAAAAGTACACATTTCAAAGCTGCAATCCTAGAAAGCAGTCCTAGCAAAGTCTGCTTCAAGGGAAACACTGTGGTTAGAGTGTCAGAATAAGACTGTGGAGATCACGATTCAATTTCCCTCTCAGTCACGACCGTTGCCCAGTCACCATCTCTTAGCCTAACCTACACACAGGTTTGTTGCAATGATAAAAAGAACCTCATGTACACTGCCTTGAGTTTCTCAGAAGACAAGACTAGGCACAAATAAATAAATAACTATGCTTCACTTCATAAAATACTGCTTGTTACATGGAGTGCAGTTTAGGGGAAGAATTCTGGGTTCTAGCCCCACGCAGGGCAAAAGATCCCTGCATTGCAGGGGGCTGGACTAGATTATTCTTGTGGTCCCCTTTCAACTCTATGACAGAATGATTCTAATCCTAAAATCCAACATGCACGAGCATCGGAAGCAACCAAACTGCTTAAGCAACTGTGCTGGGGCTTAGCAATACTTGGCTGAAAACTAAAAATGTTCCTTTTGCCTCATCTCATCACCACCTCTAAAACGCTAGAAAACATTTCATGCTTTTAAGAACTTAAATGGTGTTTCCAGACTATAGCAACCACAAACCGAGTCTTAAGAAAAAGAAAAGGTCTCCTTGCAAAGGAGACCTATGCAGCGGAGCTGATTTTTGAGACAAGTGGCTGTTTTGTGGCATTCTGAAGTTGCTCCAAGAATACATAAAAGTACAAAAATTATTGGGATATGAAAAGTAAGCAAATGCTAACAATGATTGGAACATGTTGCGCAGTGGTGGAACCACAGCATAGCACTGGAAGAGTAAGAGGCCAATATTGGGGAACAGAGTTTAGGGCACTAAAAACTCCCCCATATTCTGGTCCTCTTTCTCACACCAAATTACCCACTGAACCCTAGTTTACTTTTAAAAAATGACTTGGAGTTACACATATAGGATGTTAGGAGTTACACCGAACATATAGGATTTAATTTAGGAGAAGAAACCTGGTATGCATGATAAGAGACCTGGCTGACTGAAGCTGGTGGTTCTACATAGACATAGTTACCTGCCATGTACTCTGCTTAGAAGCAGCAGAGGGCAGGAAGACTGTGCTGCCATGGTTTAAAATAATGCCATAATTCTCATCATGTGTATTGTTTAACATATGGCTTATATTCAGTGTTTACACTTGGACTTGGGTCCAAAGGACAGAATACATTCTGTTAATAAATTAGCTGTGCCTCCTTGATTTGTCTGATCCCAATCTCAGTCAAGGTACAGGGGAGGTACAGTGGTGACTCGCAAGACGAAATTAATCCGTTCCGCGAGTCTCTTTGTCTTGCGGTTTTTTCGTCTTGTGAAGCACGGCTATTAGCGGCTTAGCGGCTATTAGCGGCTATTAACGGCTTAGTGGCTTAAAGAAAAAGGAAACAAACTCGCAAGAACTCACAAGACGTTTCGTCTTGCGAAGCAAGCCCATAGGGAAATTCGTCTTGCGGAACGACTCAAAAAACGGAAAACCCTTTCGTCTAGCATGTTTTTCGTCTTGCGAGACATTAGTCTTGCGGGGCACCACTGTAGAAGTATTTCCTAAGCAACTCTGCTAGGAGTCTAAATGGACAAAACAATAGTAAAAAACTCATTAATTAATAAATATCTTGCTTGTAACAAGATGAATTCCCCTAAAATTATTTCTATTGAAGGCAGTATGTTTTGTATATATTTTAAAGGGCATCTATGCACAAAAGCAACTATTCTTTTAAAGTCTCCTTAACTTTTAAGTATAGACCATATTAAAAGCATGGGGCAGAGAGATAGCTGCAAACTCCATCCAAATCACCTATGGATTTCCCAAATGGCATATTCAGAGATTGGCTGTCTCGTGGTATAGTTCTGATAACAGCATGATGTGAGTCAAGTGAAAATAGTACCTTGGTAGTTATAGCTGCCATCTGAGATGTGCTTTTAGAAACTGATCCAGGAGATCCAGGGGACCCGGGAGATCCAGGGGACCCAGGAGACCCAGGCAAATTACTTGCAGATGACTGGCTGGTGAGATTAGCCTTTGTACCACTTGAGAAAGAAAGTTTGAAACTTGGGCTCTGGCGACCAGAAAGATTAGTTTTCAGAAGGACCTCTTTTTCTTCACTTTCTTTAACTGTAATTTAAAACAAATACAGCTTTAATAAAAGTTCCACTATGAAATCCAACAGGCTAAAGGAGACAAAAAGTACTATTATCACACTTATGTTACATTCCTGCTTATTTTAGTACGAATTTAAGGTAAAGGTAAAGGTACCCCTGCCCGTACGGGCCAGTCTTGACAGACTCTGGGGTTGTGCGCCCATCTCACTCAAGAGGCCGGGGGCCAGCGCTGTCCGGAGACACTTCTGGGTCACGTGGCCAGCGTGACAAAGCTGCATCTGGCGAGCCAGCGCAGCACACGGAACGCCGTTTACCTTCCCGCTGGTAAGCGGTCCCTATTTATCTACTTGCACCCGGGGGTGCTTTCGAACTGCTAGGTTGGCAGGCGCTGGGACCGAGCGGCGGGAGCGCACCCCGCCGTGGGGATTCGAACCGCCGACCTTTCGATCAGCAAGCCCTAGGCGCTGAGGCTTTTACCCACAGCGCCACCCGCGTCTCACCCAGTTACTTACATTTTTTTCTTTCCATAAATTTACTTATAGGATCCATAATATCTTCATCATTTTTACTTTTGTCAGAAGGTGGCACCACAGCCTCCCCATCTTCCATATCATCTTCATCAGTGTTAAACCACATCTCTTCCTCATCCTCCAAGGTCCTTGCATCTCTCCTGTATCTATGGTTTCTCAGGATGGAACGCATGCTATGAAAAAAGATTTTTTTTAAAAGTTATTTTTCACATATTGCTAAAGCAAGAGCTTAAAAAATGAGCCATGTGCCGAAACCTTTACATTTCTCTCACACAACGACGTGATACAATGCCTAAAGAAATATTTTTAGAAACTAATATACTAGGACAATCACTATGCAAGCTGTGGATGTGCTTTAGCATTAAGCTAAGCATTAAGCATATCAAGAAACCACTATTTCATTTAGGGGTGTGTTCCTGACACTGTTTCCATGCCTTTTTATCTTCTCATCTCTTGTATGACTTTCTAATGCAGGTGATTAATGAAAGAATAGGGCACTTCTGACCGCCAGCTACGTATTGCAGGTGTAAGTTGTGTAACATTTTGAAGTTTGAAAATCGTCAAAATTGCAGGGAGGCGCTGAGATGAATGAGACAACTTACAAAAAAAAATGGGCACCTTATTTTTTAATTGCAAAAATACATAGAATCATAGTGTTGGGAGGGACCAACATGTACCAACATGAAGAATCTACATGTACCTTTATGATGAAAATCTATCAAAATGGAATGTTTTAAAAGACGTTGGCTGCCAAAGGTTTTTATCCAAAGACCAAAAAGAATGAATGCAAATGTTAGTGTGTGTGTCCCCATATGTGTATATGTGAGTAAATATATAAACCAAATAACTAGAATCAATGCACACACTTTTTATTGGGGTTTCCCTCTCCAAACAAGTTGTATTTTGAGATAATACAATTTGCCTGAAATAGTCAATTCTTCATAGGGATAAAGCAGACAAGAGTTTGTGCTTTCAATTGATGAGCTGTATCCAGACAGCTTCTGTTTGTGGAATAGATAAAGATGAAACAGAGGCTCTTGTTGGAGAAAAGCAGGGATGGTGGTGGATTTTTGCAGATTCCCCCTTCAGCCCCCAGCACCATCTCCCAGGCTATTCTGGAGGGGACATGAGGAGCTGCAAGAGGAAGGGGGAATCAGCAAAATCACTTCCCCACCCTTGCTCCAATGGCAGAGTCCTGTGAACAGAACTCTGCCCACAAGTAGTCTGAATCCAACCTGATGGGTTTCTTACCTTGGAGGTGCATTTATTTAGCCACAAATGGTGAGTCTTAACTGCTTGATCTGGACAATGAGAGACACTCTCACAAATGATTTGCAAACTTTGGATATGCATACAAAGTACACCTGCAATATGAAGCTGGCAGCCGGCAGAACAATATTTTAGCCTACCTGGTACTGCATCACAGAATAGGTTCCAGGGCTTTGTGTCTTTTTCTGGCATTGGGAAATAAGCATGTGTGTTATAGTCATCCACCAGAGATTATCTGGGTCAATTGTATGGAGATGTATATTTCTCTGTATATCCTGATATGGCTTAAAGAATCCTTCCGACACAGTACAGTGGCTTATAGCTTCACTTAATGATATTCACTTAAAAATATGTCAGTCAACTGACACTAAAAGCAGCCATTTGAGAAACAGAACCAAAGTGTGCTGTTCATTTTTCCCTAGTTTGCCCTCAATAGGAAAATGTTTTATGAAAGAGCCAATAACAATTTGTGTACACTAACCTGTCAAGTTTGGGATTATCTTGTCTTTCCCTTTGTTGTTCATAACGCAATTTCAAACCTTTGAATGTCTGCACATAATCTACATCTTCTAGTGCTTTCCAGTAATTCTCAATTACATGAGCTGTTAAGGATTTTATGTCTTCCTAGAAAATAAAGTTATTTTTTCCAATTAAAGATGTTAAAAAGTAGAAGCATAGAAAAGCCACAAAAAAATTCTTTAAAAATGCTTAAGGGAATTATTCTAAGTTTGTTCCCTAGTAATTTTTTCATCCAAACAACTACTAAGCAGCATGAGGTAAACATGGCCGTCATTACAGAAAATGCAGCAAATGGAAGTATGCAGCAAATCAAAATATAAAATTTTAGGAAGAACCATGTTTTTAATCAGTCCCTGACACATTGTTGGTGCTTAGAAAGCGTCTTCTATGATTAAAGAATAGTAAATAGATGGAAAGTTACGATGTCCAACAAAATGTTTGAACGGTTTTTAAATCTTTTTAAAATCCTGACTCAGGAGCTGGTTCTGACAGTATGCCAACAGCGAAATTTTGGAAAACCATTCTCATTTTTCTTCCAGGAACTGAAAATTACAAGTGACAATTTTACAGTTCATGAAAGAGGTGCTGTGATCAAAAGATGGCCACTAATGTATTATTACAATAAACTCTAACTGAAGTCTAACTCCTTTACTCTAGGCAGGATGCCTAGCTAGATATCTACTAGCCAGAACATGCAAATTTTAATTTTGCTCAGATTATCTATGCTGAAAACTGCTATGTTTTTAACATTATAAAATAAATCTGCAAACACTTTTTAACTTGCAATTTAAAAAAATGTTTGCACCACATTCCAGGCCAAAAACTTCATCTTCAACATCCTGGTGCTTCAGTAGCGATGACCCACTGTGAGCCACCATTACTCCATCTATCCCTGGGTAGTTAAGAGATGGGTTTTCCTTTGTGTTCAGTCAAGTAACTGCCTCAGTACTGCACCTTAGGCACTCATTATTTTCTTGGAGCGCATTACAATCTAATTTGTTTGAAGAGTTCTGTTTTGGGGCCCTGAATCTTCTGAACCAGGTGGATTTCCATCCTTTCAACTTCTATATAGGTATCAAAAGTAATGGCTCAAAATGTCCCAACTCACAGTAATTGCCCTCATTGGTACATTCTTACCCCTACTTATAAACAAGGCTGACCACAAATGCTTTCCCCTAAGAAGCAGCGCCATCTCTCATGCTTCTGTCACTATCAATATGATGTGACTATTGGGTGAGTATGTACCTACCCAAGCCTTAAAATAAGCAAACTTAAGTGTGGCGGGTGGCTATAAGAGAGTGAAAGAGGGCTTTCTTGTTGGTGGCCCTCTTTCTGATAGTGAATGCACTCCAGATGCCTGCCTGGTGACTTACATGAATGACTTTTTTGATCAAAGACTGTTTTCCCTTCTCAGGCCTTTTAACACCAATTTAATATTTAAAAAAAAAATATTCCAAAGATTATTTTTTAACATCAGTAGTTGTTAAAAACAGTTGATGGTAGTTTGTTTTTAGCTTTTGCAAAATTGAATATTAATGTGATTAGATTGTCATTAGAATTAGGTTTTACTGTGTTGGTCTGGTTTTTTGTGTTGAATTTGACAGTCACCATTTGCACTTAGGTTTTAAACTGAAGTACTGCACATCACCTAGAGTGCTAACGAGTTGATCAATATAAAAAATAAGTATTTCTGCCTTGAAAGGCCTCCTATTCCAACATTCCGCAAACTTTCTTTTTCTCTCTCCAAGAAGATACTTGGAGTTACCTTATTTTATCTGCAACTCCCTCCTGTAGAACATACTCAGAGTTAATAATGTTTTTGACACCAGCACCTGCAGTGTTAACATCCACCCTTCTCTAGAAAGTGGTACTCACCACTCTGATAAATTCAAACATCTCTATAATAGCAGAATTCATCAAATTATAGCGAGATCCATTGCTGAGAAATGCTTTGACCACTGGTTCAAACAAAAAACTTTTCATTATATAGCGGTTGTAGAATTCATCCTTCAACCCAATTATCTTTCTTTTAAAACGCAGGGCACCTAATGAAGAAAAATCATTATTTAAAAGCAATTTTCACATTTGGCTTCCAATAACAACATCCTCAGTATCCCAACTTTAACAGAACGGCCCACAGCTTAAGTAATTCACAACACTTTTACATAGCAGTATGTGATGACGAAAAGGAAACAAGGACACTGAAGATCAGTCAGATGAGAATATACTGACAAAGGACTGCCACAGTATCATATAAAACTCTTTATGAAAAAGAGAAAAGTCATTATGTTACAAATAACACCATAAAACAGAGGTAGCCAGTCCTCTAGTTTGCTTATTATGGTAAGCCCAACTATGGCTTACCAGGACTGCACGAATGGGCTCCTGCAGAGGAGCTCACATCTGCTCTGCTCTCCAGTCTTTAGCACAGCATAGTGCAGCAGTTAAGCCAAGGTTTAGAATAGTGTGTTGTCTTGAAACCAGGATCATGGTTACGGTCTCACTTCCTCAACCATGAACTGTGACCATAGGGCTAAACCTTGATTACAGGTAGTGGTTAAGGAGAAGAGACCTTAATCACAATCCTGGGTTTGGACACACTAAGTTTGGTTTAGCTGCTGTGCTAGGACAGGAGAGTAGCAAAGCAGCTGTGAGCTCCTCTCCAAAAGCTAGCACACTTGTGCAGTCTGTTAACTTGGCTAACCATGATATGTGAACAAGGCCAATGTTCCACTTGTTTTGGACTATCACCACTGACCATTGGCCGTGCTGACAGGAGCTGCAATCCAAAACAAATGGAAGCACCAGAATGGCTGATCCTCCAGACAAAAAGTTCAGATGGTTTGGGTTGGTTGAGACATGCAGCAGCTCCACACAAATGACAATTTTGTCAGATGAATTTCAATTACTGCAACCTGATGACGAGACGAAGCTGCTTGAAGGGTTGTTCCCTCAACCCTGGTTGATGCTAAAAAAAAATGACCGAAAGGCCTAGGGAGTGAATAATACTTCATTGCAATGGGGGAGACAGTTTATCCCCTCCTTAAGAAGTTGTTGCTGGATCCAATAGTGTGACAACTATTGCCTGGTTGCCAATACCCCTTTTCTGGCAATACGCTTTACTAGGTAGTGGCAGGGCAGCTTCCTGATACTTAATTATATGCATCTCTTCACCTGGCCAGGCCTTCAGATCTTTTTTATGTTGTTTCCACAACTGAGTTACTTAACAGTCTATTAGTATGCTTTGTATCGATACTACTTGGATCTGATTAATTAGTTTCTGGGATTTTAAGTACGGCTCTTATTAGCTGTCTGTGATTATGTGTTTTACATGACTATTTGTAAATCCCCATGATTTTTATGAAAATACTTACATAGTGCCAAAAAGGCATGCATTGAAGACATCAGAACTAGCACTCTTCGAAGGATATCCTTATTTATAATGTAGTTCTTTATATGGTATGTATGATGTTCCACACAGAAAGTTAGTAACTCTAATATCAAGGCCAATAGCTGGGCTGTCTGAAAGTCATCTAAAACAAAACAGACAACATAAAAATCACATAAAAATATACAAATTTTAAATTATTTTTTGATACATAAAACTCACAATTTATTTTCTGCAACATAAACAAAAACAGAAATCAAATTGGGCTTATTTAATTTTCTGTTCCACTTGTTTGGCATATAAAGCAAAACATACTAATTGATTCCAGCACCATAGACAAATCACTGCATAATAGTCATTATTCCACATACTTGATATCTTTTAGTTTTTTATTAGTGTAAAAGCTGCATGTTCAATTTTGATGCATTTTATGAGATGTACAAGAACAATCCAGTCCCATAGGCACACATGGAGGACAGCAAAACACACAGTCTAAGTGCCTTCTATCCAGGCATGCAGTGATCTACTACCTGCCCTTAAACTCAAACCACATTTGCTAGGAGCACATGGAGGTGCTGGATGACTGCAAAGGATGGGGCTATGCACAAAGGTATAGGGATGATTCTTAGTGACTGGGCCAAGACTAAGCTCAGATCTCTATTACAATCATACCTCGGGTTGAATGTGCTTCAGGTTGAGCGCTTTCGGGTTGTGCTCCGCGGCAACCCGGAAGTAATGGAATGCATTACTTCCGGGTTTCACCGCTCGCGCAGATGCAGACGCTCAAAATGACGTCACGCGCATGTGTGGAAGCGGCAAAACGCGACCCACGCACGATCGCGTCTTGGGATCCCGTTCGCATCCCAAGGTACCACTGTACATGAATTTTCACTATTATGGGAAGCTCTGAAGTGCTACACCTGGAAGACCTGCTTGATGAAAATAAAAACTGTCCTTCCCCCCAGCTGTAAGTGATCTGGATTTTATAAGGATGAAACAGGGCAATGTGCCTCGCCACTCCTTCTGAAACAGCAGCCCTCCAGCCACACATACCCTGTCATTTTGCTGGTTACGAAATTTATTTAGATTATTTGCATAATTCAGTTTATTATTTGTATAACGCTTTTAAAGAAAAAAAACTCTTGCCAAAGCATTTTAATAGGGAAAATGATGCCTCAACAAAAGATTTCTTGCCTCACCTTTGCTAGGCTTTTCCTCCGTAGTATTGGCCAGTAGTGGTGCAGTGAGGACATGCATACAATGTTTGTAAAAGAACCCCAAGAATTCAGTTTTTTCTGTTTTCTGCAGAAAAAATAAATAAATTTATACCTAATGCACATAATGCAAAGTGCCTTAATAACTTGGGGGCGTATATTATGACTGCACATAAATACTTGCTTACATTGGCAGTAGCTAGCATATTTTCTGGATCCACCAACGTACGCAATAGACCCATCAGTTGGACTGCTCCTCCAAGTTCAGGATCTGTATCACAAATCATGTGTTCTATGATGAGGTTAATGAGTAAAATATCCTGGTTTAAAAAATAAAATTAAATAATGAACTGGTTAGTAACAACTAAGATGCAAAATAAAGACACACCAGGAGGCAATTCTAGACAAAAGCCTGGATCTAAGCAGGAACTGTGGGTGGGTGTTTTCATAATAGCAGCCACTCATGCTGTTTCTGGAAGTGAGGAAAATTTCAAAAAACATGGAATCGTCTGCAACCCCACAGGATAGATACACATCCTTGGGCCTACCTGAAGCAGCTATGCAGATGCTAGCCAAGTACTCTAACATATAAATGTACTTTCCAAATTCCAATAGATGCATCACTACCATGTGAGGAGTAGGGAACTGACAGACTGCTGCCTACTCATGAAGAAGCAAGTGAGGCTGTGCTGCATCAAGTTTCTCTGCATTTTCTCCAAGAATCCAACCCAGAAAAAGGCAGAGATAGTCTACATCATCCTGTAGCTGAGCACAAAATAGGAGGATGTTCTTAATAGGAGCATCACTGGCCTGGCATGAAGTCTCCTCGCCTTCTCCCATTCAAAGAATAGAGAGGACAAGGTTCCCAGCAACAGCTGCAATAATTTCTCTCCAGCACTTGCTCTGTGAGGGAGGCAAGAGGGACATGCACATGGAGAAAATCAAACCACTCAGTGCCACTAAAGATGGTCCACAGTCACTGAACAACTGCAGAACCAAAATCATGTTCAGCTCTATTAAACATACAGAAAACCAAGTAAGTGGGGAGAGACTGATTCCCCCCCCTTCATATTTTGGTCTCTTTTTAATATTTATTGCAAGTTTTAACACAGAAAAGGGTCTGGGTCTAGAGAGGCACTATGGAGCTTTACTGCCACCTTTCCTCCCAGGTACAGTTCCGCAGTAGCCCTTAAAAACCGGTGTGCAAAAGGTCACAGGACCTTCTGGATCAGCAAGGGATGAGTTGGGGAAGCTGCAACAGGAGGGGGAAACTGGTGGAATTCTCGGGACCACCTTGTGTGAGCAAATGGAAGTTTCCACCCACACAAAACACCTTTACATCTAAGCCAACAGAGTAGGACCTACGGCTAAAAGTTGGCTTATATAAAAATGATTGCTTTCATGTAACTATATATTTGGTCCTAAACCTTTGCCTTGGTTGTATAGTATGCAGCATCATTGAACGTTATGGGAAGATCCTTGAACATACACTATGCTACAGCCATTTGGGGTGGTATGGCATAATCACTAGCTACTAAATGCTCTTTACTACATGCTATAAGAAAATTGCATCCTATTTATAGAAACACTCAATTGCTACTGCTGTTTTAAAAATATGTTCTGGGGTCTAACATACTATATATCAATCTCTCAATTCAGCTGATATCACTTTAGAGATTTTATTGAATGGTTTTTTTTAAAAAAAAGCAAAACAATTCAACATAAAAATTTGTATTAAACGTATTCAAAAATTTAATATATTAATGTAAAAACAAAACTATATCATCCAAAGAAATACTGTTATCAAAAATAATCATGTATATGACTTGTGCATAGTTATATTCACAGATTTGTAGCTGCTTCATGGTATCATTTTCAGGGTTTTTTTCCCCCACACAAGTTTTACCTAGGGACGCACTTAAGAGTGATTTCTCTACAGTGGTTTCTGTATCCAAATAAAGGCTATCAGTGGAAAGTGTGAATCAGTCCTCAGACACTGGCCCAGTAGGAACAAAACTCTGGTTTACTTTCCCCCACTCTCAGTTCTCTGAAGTGAATCTCCTTTCCCTTGCTGGCTTTAACCATATTTTAAAACAGCCTCCGCATATCACCATTTGCATGGTCACCACAGACAACAAGAAATTATATGTAGGTATGTGGACTGTGGCAGCTAGAGGAGAAACATGGAACTCCTTCTATTTCTCCTCCTTCTATTTCTACACAGTGCATGCAGTAGAAGAGCACCAAGCACAGAAAAAGAGGATCCTCCTCTCTTCTTCCAGCAGCCCTCTGCACTTGTATGAAGAATGAGGTTTTACTACTTTTTGGTTATTTATAAAAATATTCATATATCACTATGCCACAGAATATATATCAGAGCAGTTTACAACAATAAAACATAAAAACCATACAATAAAACCATTAAAATGTTAAAAACATATCAATTAACCCTTGTGGAAGGATGTACAGCAGTACCTCGGCTGTCAAGCATAATCCGTTCCAGAAGACCGTTCCAACTTCCAAAACGTTTGACAACCAAAGCACAAAGGGCGGTCGGCAAAGTCAATGGAGAAAAAAGAAAAAAATGCAGCGGAAATCGTTTGACTTCCGAGGCATGTTTGAAAACAGAAGCAATTACTTCCAGGTTTTCAGCATTCAGGTTCCGAAGGGTTCGGCTTCTGAGACGCTCGAAAACCGAGGTACCATTGTATTATTGATTGCCTGTACAGGCCTGGCAGAATAGTTTTCAGCAGGCGTTTAAAAGTTGGCACAGAAAGTGCCTGTCAAATCTCTAATGGCAGAGTATTCAAAGGACTGGGCTGAAGACACTAAGGACTCAGTTTCTCATCGTTGTCAAATGTGCCACCAACTTGGGGAACACCCAACGACATGCCTGCAGATGATCTCAGCAATTGGGCTGGGATATAAGGGGTTCAAGAGATTCCTGAGGTACACTGGAACTAACTTGTTCAGGACTTTGTAAATTAGTACAAAGAACTTTGAACCTTGGCAGCCAGTGCAGTAGCTTTAACAATGCTGTCACATGTTCTCCACAAGTAGCTCCCAGAAGCAGTCTAGCTGCAGCATGATGTACCACCTGGAGCTTCCAAACCAAAGAAAGGTAGGGCAGAGGAGGAACCAGGGTGCGCAGTTCCTCCTCTGCCAGATTCTCTTGGGGGGGGGGCGCAGAAATGTTTACAAGACAATTTAATACCTGTATCAATGCTAACCATGGTTAATGGCAACTAGCATTTCCAAATAAACCTGGGGTTATAAGACAGGACTTGCAAATAAAGGTTTAGAGGAAATTTGCTTAGTATCATTATTACCGTATTTACCACAAAAAACTGGGAAAACTTATTGACTCGAGTATAAGTCGGTTCACCACACCACAAACCTTGTGGTGGCGGCAGTGGTGGAGGAAGAACAAGCAGCCCAAAAGGGCTGCTTTCGGGGTGCTTGTTCCTCCGCCACAAACAGTGGCAAAGGCGGAAGAGGAAGCAGCAGCCCAAAAGGACCCTCACTTGAGTATATGCCAAGGGGGGCTTTTTCAGCATAAAAAATGTGCTGAAAAAGTCGGCTTATACTGGAGTATATATGGTAATTAGTGCCAATGCAGAGGTAACTCTGAACCATGGTAAAAGCTGACATGGCAAGCAAGAGGGATATTTGGGCTCAAGAGGCAAAAGGAAGAGACTACAAACTTCCATGACTGGCTCCTAATGTGCAAACTGTGGTTTGCAGAAGCCAGTAACATATCTGTGAGAAAACTGCCTGAGTTTATACAATTACACATCAGTAAAAGAATACTGAAGCATCTATCCAAGCTTCAGTTGTTGAAATACTTCACTGTCATGCTTTACTAATGGAAATGTAATTTTGAAAACGGTAAGAGCCACCTACTTACATCATCATTCTGTTGAGCTTCCTGCATGACAAATTCTCGTACCATAGACGGGTTATATTCAACCAAATATGAGAATATATCAGTAGCTGCACTTCGCACTTGTGCATCATCCATACCCTGCAGTCAAAAAACAAATTATGTAACTATAGTAGAAAGGTAGTCTAAAACTTATTTTCATTGTTTTCATTAGCTCACTTTTGAGACAAAATGCCTTACTAAAGAAGTCTATTTTATAATATTCTTTGCCCCCAAGGAAGGTTGAAACCAAAACCTCTTGCACGTTTTGTGTATCTGATTAAACCGCCCAGTACGGTTTTTGATGCTTTGTCTATGCTTTGGTGATGCCCTCTTCCATTCCCCTACCTGGAGTATGACAGGACAGGATATATATAAAACTATATGGTTTTTATAGATAATGTAGTATCCCAAAATGGTACAAAAAAAGTTGCAAACATTTAATTGCCAGACTATGGGCAGAATTCAGCTAATGAGTCCCATCAGTGGAAGCCCATACAAGGATTTGCGCTTGTGCAGTGGACCCCCCTGCCCCCCAGCCAAAACAAACAAACAAACAAACAAACAAACAAACAAACAAACAAACAAACAAAAAACAGCTCAGATGAGTCAGGAGAACCACCACCACAACACGCAGAAGGGGGGATTGCTCCTTCTGGCAATGCAAAATGCTTGCCCTGATGGAATGATTGACACAGTGCTACATGGAATTCTTCCTCAAAAATACCCCAATGAAAAGAACATACAAGTTTAGAAGTAAACTTTGCAAACTTACTAGGATGACTTCTAGTGCTGGAAGAATGCCCATATTAGACAATGTTTTGAAAAAAGCATCTCTGTTTTGAGGTTGTAATGTTTGAGAAAATGCACAAAACTCTTTAAGAAAGTTTACCTGAAACACAGAAAACAATACTTTATTCACCAAGAAACAGAATGCAGCAATTGCCTCACTAAGCTCATTTCAAAGCACTTACCAATTCTTGTCTTTTCTCCTCATCTGTAGCTTCATCTGTAAGTTGTGCAAACAGGTCTGTCAAAAACTTTTCATCTTCCTATAATATATCAATGTTATGTTTAGAAATACAAATTGACACTAAAGGTCTATAATATATTCTCCAACCAAACACACCAGTTACAAATCAGATCATTTGAAGGGACAAAGCTATGCCTCACTGGTACACGTTGTCTTTAACAATAATATAAAGCAAAACTTGATTTAAGGGCAAACTCCCACTGACTTCAGATGCAATGTTTCATTCACCTAATTACTTGTGTAAAATGTAAAAAAGAATTGTCTTGATGGTGGAAATCAAATATTCACATTATCTACAGAAAATGACAGAATATTTCCCATCTAATACCACATTTTTCCCAGCCTTTGCAAGTGAGCTTACACAGCCTGAGTCAAAGTCAAAGCCCCCCCCCAAAATGACTCCATACATTTAATCATTTCATATTATTTACACAAGCCTGCTAACAAATTGTACACTACTTGCACATAAATTTATGTAATAGGAAGTTGTATCACACTTCTTCCCCTCGCATCTTTGTTAATATGTTGTGTTTCTAACTGGACAGGTACAACTTAAGAGCCAATGCACAAAGGGCAAGGTAGGCACAGTAGACATAAGTAGAATTTTGCTCTTCTGATAAACATACGTTCTAAGCAGTTTCAGGAACATGTGAATAAGCCATTATTGCACCAATCTCTTGTAGGAAATGAATGTGTATGACAATATAAAAAAATTCCTCTCCATCCCCCAAGTAATCAGATTATAAAGCCTTTGTATGTATTAGTTAGCCCATCCACGTCACCTGGACACTAAAAGTCATACTTCATGGAACAAGTGTGCTTTTTTTACATAGAAATAGTTGCTAAATATTAATAAACTGTTTACTATTAGATTCTAATGGATTATTGAATATTGCTTTATTTGATATAGGTTATTTATTTTAAAGTTATTGTGACTTTTTATATTGGATCAGATTGTTACTATTAATGTTTGATGTTTTATTGTGTTTTTGTATGTGTTGGAGGCCGCCCAGCATGGCTGGGGTAGCCCAGCCAGATGAGCAGGGTACAAATTAAATATAAAAATAACAACAACAGCAGCAGCAGTAGCAACAACAACAACAAAAAGTAGGTGAAATAGCCTTAAGACCTAACAATCAAGCACGGCCAGCTATCCTGTCCACTAGGACAAAACTTTAAAAGTGACAAGGTTCAACTATAGTAGTTTGTTAAGTGTATATTTCACCACTGATAAATGTTAACAATCACCCACTGCACTCTATGTAAATACACATTATATGTGTTTGAAACAAAGTCTAGGTTGCAAGCTCTGTATTAACAGACACAACAATTGTACCATATGTGATTCCCAGTTTATCCTCATGATTTTTAACTATTTGTTTTTGGTTAACAAAGGGTAGTGTTAAATTAATGAACATAAGTTGATTTCAACAGGTCTACCAAGTAAAACTTAGTTGAATACCACCCATAGCTCATGGATTTAACATTCGATGATCAATTAATGAAAAGGTGTTTACAACATTCACTTTTTCCAAGCAAAGAACATCCCCTTTCCCCTGCCACGAGCAGGTAGCAATTTATGTTGTGATTATGCCCTGCGATCTAGGGGTATAAGGCAGTTAGTTAGTTAGTTAGTTAGTTAGTTAGTTAAATAAATAAGGCTTCATATACCTCTAGCCCATTCCCAAGGCTAGATGTATATCAATATTTTAAAAATGTACCTATGAAAAGCATACTTAAAATTTATTACTACTCAGAAGCTTAGCTCTGATCATCAAAAGCCAGCTCCCAAATAGTACAGGATTAGGAGCGTTTCATGTGCACCATGTGGTTATGATAAAAAATATGATTATCAGTTAATTGGGTTGGATTCAGAGTTTCCCTTCTGTGTAGGCTCCCATGACTGAGATTGAATGGAGAGTCTCCATTTAAGAAAGTGGGAGGCAATTCCCTTTCCACGCCCATGTCGCTACCCATGCTCTTCTGCAGGGTCCTCTGGAGCAGTTTTCAGGGAGGCTGCAGGGTGAAAAAGCAACCAGCAACAATCACGTCTTCCACTACCTAAAGCAGGAGCGTCCTACGAACAGTACTCGCTTCTACTCTTCTTTTTCTGTTCGCAAATGTTAAAACATTTCTTCCAAACCTCTCTACTTCTGTAGAACAGCTATACTTAGCATCTTAATGTTTTCACAATAAAAGCTGCCTTCTATATTTACCTTTGCATACTTCCGCTTGAAATGAGCACACAAAATTTGTAGTATTTCAAATGCAGTCTTACTGACTCCCGAGTTGTACAATGCATAAGCGTTAATGTTCCTGTTAATATAGTCAAAATTGTCCAAATCTGGCCCCTTTGCACCACAGTATCACATACTGATATTTAAAGTTATATTAGCAACTCTTTAAAAAGTTCAGTTTGTTATGCACTATAGCCGTAGCATTTTAACTCTTCTTTCTCATGCATAAAACTTTACATCAGGCCTTAAACTGCATTTTATTACCTGAAATATTTCTCCTATTCTTTGGAATATTTGCTAATTTCAGTAAATATGATTAGCTCATTACAGTGGTGCCCCGCAAGACGAATGCCTCGCAAGACGAAAAACCCGCAAGACGAAAGGGTTTTCCGTCGCGGAGGCGCTTCGCAAGACAAAGTTCCCTATGGGCTTGCTTCGCAAGACGAAAACGTCTTGCGAGTCTCGCCATTTTTTTTCTTCGCTCCCCCCCCCCTTTTCAAAGCGGCTAAGCTGTTAATAGCCTTTTAACAGCTTAGCCGCTAAGCCGCTAATAGCGCTAAATCGCTAATAGCGCTAATCCGCTTAGCCGCCAATGGGGTTGCTTCGCAAGACAAAAAAACCGCTAGAAGAAAAGAATCGCGGAATGGATTCTTTTCGTCTTGCGAGGCACCACTGTAACTCCAACTTTACCCAAGCTAATAATAAAAAAGCAACAGAACCACAGAATCACTGAGTTTTTCACACAAGAGCAAATTTACCATATGGTAGTGCCTTGTAATCCAGTATTAAAAGACTCTAATGTTCATGGGTTACAGCTTTTAACTCTTAAATATTCACATGTGGCATCCATTCATTTTACCCATTAGGTGTACTCTCCCTGTCCCCCAATTACAGTGCCCTTTGCAAACCCAAAAAACTCAAAACCTAAAGTATTCAAAGCATACACAATGCTTCCCCCCCAACCCTCACAATAGATCAGAAATTGTCTAACTTGGCACTGACCAACAAAGAAGTACAGTATGATGTAATTTCTGATGTGTAATTTGGGCTTTCCTGGCATAGCAAGAACACCTGACTTCGCTACATACTACAGCCGTTTCGGCGCTATGAAACTGTATCTATTAAAAGTTACAATTCATTTTAAAACAGAAATTGTTTCCCTTCAGCTTCTTGGGCCTCTGCAGTTCTCAACATCCCCTGAAACCATATAATTAACAAACACCAAGGCTCTGCAAAAAACAAAAAAAGTTTGGATTCGTTTTGGTTTGTGGGCATGCAATGTTTTGTTTCATTCCTACTTTTTAGGGTTCCTTTATTTTGTAAACAAAGATTTACTTTACTGTATTACCCATTGGGAAAAACCACAATGCATTTGTATCTTAACATATTCAAACAGAACTGAATCAAATTTGCAGGAATGGGAGCCCCTTCAGAGAGGATGGATTCTGTCACTTTTCAGACAACTAGGTCATAGCAGGTTTGTGCTAGTTTCTGTTTCCTTCCACTGGCCTTTTAGTGCTAAGTATTTGCATGATATTCACAGGGAATGCAGAGGTGCAATTTGATAAGTTACCGGCAAAATTTTACATCACTATGTTCAAGGGTTTAGAAGTTACCCAAAATTCTTTAAAAACCCAGTATTTGAGTTTTTAATTAAACCAATTAACAGGAGCCAAACTGTAAGACCCAGCATCCCAGACTGCATCTTCCAGGTACAGGAATTGCCTCAGGTTTGCCATCAGGCTCCAAACAAGGAAATCTAGATAGAAACAACATTCAATCTGCACAACATCCAAGATTAAAGAAAACAATTCCTGACTTACCTGTAACATACCAACTATTTCTACTTTATTAAAAAAGATGAATGAATGAAGAGTTGATAACATGTTTTCCTCAAACACCGAAGGAGTAGGTAGAACCATATCTTGAATATACTGTACTCTGTATGTCTGATGTATTTTTTGTTTCAATTCTGGATCAGATATTGGAATAACTTCTTTAAATTTTGCAGTTTTTGTCAGAAATTCCCTGTGTTTCCGTGACTGTGATAAAGAAGGATCATATTCTAGGCATCCAATTACATCCATTATACATTCTTCAGAAAACATTACTTCAAAAAGTGCAGTTCTATTCAAAAGGAAGATTCCCTTAATAATTTCATACAAATGGTGTAGTCCTTCAATGTTTTCCAAGTCCTCACACACATGAAAAATTTCTAAGAGCTTTTTAATGTAGCCCTCATTTTCCAGTGCTAGAGCAAGTTTTTCTCGCCGCAATGGAGAAGGCAGCGAAGACGCCACAAGTTCTGCAATTTCCTCTAGTCGACTTAATTCACAAGATGGCAACTCTAGACCTGGGGATGACATATCATCAAAACGTTCCTCTTCAGATTCATCCACCAGATCCTGAGTAATGTCCACTGAAGGGTCTTTCCCTTGAACCTATTAAAGTGAGAGAAAACCAAAGGGGACCTCTTCAGCTTTCACAGCCAGATGCCTACAGCTATATACAGAGATGCAGACAATCCAAGCACTATTACCATAAATTTATCTTAAACAATATTGCAGAGAAAAGGGAACTGTACCCAATCCTGTGGAAATGGGTAAAACCAAATATTAAACCTTGAATATCAGGTACAGTGGTGCCCCGCAAGACGAACGCCTCGCAAGACGGAAAACCCGCTAGACGAAAGGGTTTTCCGTTTTGGAGGCGCTTCGCAAAACGAATTTCCCTATGGGCTTCCTTCGCAAGACGAAAGCCCATAGGGAAATCTCCGGGACAGCGGGGAAGCGCAGCGCGTCTTCCCCACTGTCCTCGGACCTCCTCCGAAGGCTGGCGGCGGGCGGAGAGACCTCCTCTGCCTGCCTTCCCGGGAGAGCGGAGAAACGCAGCGCCTTTCTCCGCTGTCCCGGAGGGCTTTTGAAGGCAGGTGGGGGGGAGCATAGAGGTCCAGGACCTCTTCTGAAGGCAGGCGGGGGGCGAAAGTCTTTGCTCCCCCCTGCCTGCCTTCCCGGGAGAGCGGAGAAAGGCAGCGCGTTTCTCCGCTGTCCCGGACGGCTTTTGAAGGCAGGCGGGGGGGAGCAAAGATTTTCGCCCCCCGCCCGCCTTCAGAAGAGGTCCTGGACCTCTTTTGAAGGCCAGCGGGGGGCGAAAGTCTTTGCTCCCGCCTGCCTCCCTTCCCGGGAGAGCGGAGAAACGCAGCGTGTTTCTCCGCTGTCCCGGAGGGCTTTTGAAGGCAGGCGGGGGGGAGCATAGACTTTCGCCCCCTGCCCGCCTTCAGAAGAGGTCCTGGACCTCTTCTGAAGGCCGGCGGGGGGCGAAAGTCTTTGCTCCCCCCTGCCTGCCTTCCTGGGAGAGCGGAGAAACGCAGCGTGTTTCTCCGCTGTCCCGGACGGCTTTTGAAGGCAGGCGGGGGGGAGCAAAGACTTTCGCACCCCGCCCGCCTTCAGAAGAGGTCCTGGACCTCTTCTGAAGGCCGGCGGGGGGCAAAAGTCTTTGTCCCCCCGCCTGCCTTCCCGGGGGCTTTTAAATCGCCCCGGGACAGCGGAGAAGTCCCCCGCTGTCCCGGGGCTTTTTAAAATGCTGGCGGGCGGCAGCGGAGGCTTCGCTCCCGCCCGCCAGCATTTTAAGATCGCCCCGGACAGCGGAGAAGTCCCCCGCTGTCCCGGGGTTTTTTAAAATGCTGGGGGTGGGAAGAAAAGCCCTTGGTCCCCCCCCAGCCTTCAGAAGAGGTCGGGGGACAGATTGTCCCCGGACCTGGTCTGAAGTCGGTTTCCATAGGAACGCATTAATTGATTTTCAATGCATTCCTATGGGAAACCGTGCTTCACAAGACGGAAAAATCGCAAGACGACAAAACTTGCGGAACGAATTAATTTCGTCTTGCGAGGCACCACTGTATTGAAAAAAATATACAAGAACCAACCGGGTGGGTGAAAGTTCTAGTTACAGAAAAGTCCACACCATGGCAGCTAAGCATCACAATGCAAGCAGCACCAGGTTTGTCTTCAGATATTGTTATCTTAGACTAAAAACCGAAGTGAGCTTTTTTGCTTCACAATACTAAGTTCAGCCTCTAACCAACACTATAGAATGAGCCTGAATATTTTAGAAGACTGCTCCTACCTAGCTAACGCTTGCCTACTAATATTTGGTTTTTCTATTTGAATGTATTAGCACCAACTTTTATAAACCACCCAAGAATCTCTCTTGATGAAGGGCAGCACGTTAAAATAAAATGCAAACAGTACCACCCTGGGCAACTGCCACCTAGTTATCCACACTCTGGTCAGGGCTACTGTTACAAGTTAAACTGGGCCATCTTGCCAATCCTGCGCTCCATACTTATGTACAAATATTTTTGCTACTCCAAATTAACTGTATGGGTAGAATTCAACTCAAGCTCCTTTGGGAGGAAGGGTAGGACAGAAATTTAACAAATAAAAACAATGAAATGCTCTTGGGCTTGCAAAAGGACTTCTGATCAGCAGATGTCTCTACTAAAGGAAATGATAGTTTTCAGTTTTCCCCTTTTTCCACACAGGCTTTCAGAGCACCTTCCATGCTGTTTTAGAGGGTCCCCAAAACAAATCTCTGGAGATTACTTTTGGGGGCTGCAGAGGGAAAGGGGAACAGTCAAAAATCTCCTGTTCTATTAATGGTATTATCCACTTGATGAAAAACCCATCTGTTAAGTGCAAAGGCACCAATTTAATTCTACTTTTGCTATTGCTATCTCACTACCTTCCTAATGGCAAGGTTTACGGTAATTTATGATTTCCCAGTGTTCTACAACAGTGGAATATTTTCGTTTTCATATTTGCTGACAATCAGGAGTTGTAGGTATTTGGTCCTCTTGTTTACTTAGCCCATTTGTTAGTTTGAATGGAAGTCTGAATATGCACTAAACACATTTCAGGTTTTAAATAATCTGGATGCTTCTGAAGGAAATGGTGAAGGAAATATTCACTTAATATTGCAAATGGAACAAATATTTAAATATTTGAGAGGGAAAACTTACCTGACATATTTTTTCCCATATTTCATCACATCCAGCTTTTTCTTGAAAGCTAAGTGCCAGATCATAGTTCTCTGCTTCAGACCACACAATCAGTGTGTCCTTTAAAAGTTAAGAGTTATGTTTAGTTAAGCTATATTTAACATTACAGAACATTTTCTAAAGATGAATTATTTGATCCAATAATGTCTGAGATAAAAAAGCAAAGTGTTTCACTTGCATATTACTCTTAATACAACAAAAAACACAAACTAAAAATTCCCATATTGGATTGTCAGTGGATACCAAGCCAGTGCAAAGAAAGTCACATGCACGGCACACTGGCAGTGTTTTTAGCATATGAGATACAGTTGCCACTGAACAAACTAGGGCTGCTGGATCTAAAACATCATGTATATTTTGGCAAGTAGATGGATTTTATAGGGCAACATTGTGTTATGTCATGCTTTGCATGAAATTATGGTTGTCACATCTGCTACATTCTCATTTTGATTAAAAGCCAGCTTTCATAAAGAATATTTCTTATTCACTTTTTTATCACCAATAACCACACTCCCATCTGTATTGTATTTTAGACTCTCTTCATAAAACAATTCATCCATCTGATAATTTTAGCAGCCTTTATGCAACCTTTTTACAATTTCCCAAGGGTTTTGAACTGCATGCACACAACATTTCAAATATACACAACATCAACTTTGGTAATGGCATTATTTGTTGTTTAATTTTGCACTCTTTTCCTATTATCTCAATTTGCTTTTTTCCCTACAGAATTACACTAAAAGACTTCTGCATTCATATGCTCTTTCCTGTTTTTTAATCAGTCACCAACCCATAAGATCACAGAGACTAATTAATGACTGCTACGTTCTTAATGAACTTTTCACAAGGCCCTTTGCTGCACGCTTTTTGAAAATCCACAAAATCTTTTTATTTACAGGACTCCCCTACATTGTCTACTAGTTGAGACTGCAATTGTAATCCTACTAGCCTGGCAACAAGCCCCACTGATTTCTATGGGACTTACTTCTGAGTATACATTACAGTGGTGCCCCGCAAGACGAATGCCTCGCAAGACGAAAAACTCGCTAGACGAAAGGGTTTTTCGTTTTTTGAGTCGTTCCGCAAGATGAATTTCCCTATGGGCTTGCTTCGCAAGACGAAACGTCTTGCGAGTTTGTTTCCTTTTTCTTAAAGCCGCTAAGCCGTTAATAGCCGCTAAGCCGCTAATAGCCGTGCTTCGCAAGACGAAAAAACCGCAAGACGAAGAGACTCGCGGAACGGATTAATTTCGTCTTGTGAGGCACCACTGTATTCTGACTGCAGCCTTACTTGGGTAATCTGACTGAGAAGCATACAGTTCCTTGGATGCTACTTAAAAGACGGTGTTACATTGGTGATCTACTAGTAATTTGGTATGGATGGTCCTGCAATTTTACATAGGAGTTCCCTAAGAACCCATTGGTGAATCACAATTTATCCAAGCAATTGGTTACTATTTGGTTTGTCAATCAGTCCAAAAATCTCCTGACACCTTTTTGGGTGCAGCTTTTTTATTGTGTTAGCTGATCTGTTAAGTTTAATGTGAAGTTCACTAGACTTCACTGTATTCATTACACTCAAGAGTGCCTAACTCACAAGACTATTGTACAGAGGAATGATATAAGGAGTTCTGGAAAACTGCCATACATTAAAAGGTTCTATGGTAACTGAACTGTTAGATTAAGCTGGAGACACAAACAATTACCATGTTACTGTTACATTGTTGCCAGTGAAGCATCAACAGATACACTTCTGGGCATAGCAGCAGTTCATAACCCAAGCCACGACAGCCTGAAAGCACCTTGAAATTGGCAGACCCAACTGTCATATTTCCACCAAACATTTCCTACGCTGGGAAAGATAGCTGACTAAATTGTTACCTGTTGCTTCTGGTAAGCAGTATTAGGATTGATTTTGGACTCCAGAAGAAGAGAACCTAAAAAGAAGGGGGAAAGTGTTTTATTTCCTCCCCTAGAAATAAAGTAGCATTTATATGATCTATACAAAGCAAACTGACAATAATCGTTCACCAGGTATACACAACTATTCCTGTGAAGAAATGGTTACTGATTCTGCAAACAGTTCTCTAAAGCAACCTTTGCCATCCTGGTGTCCTGCAGACCTTTTGAACCACAACTCCTATCAGTGCATACATCCAAAAAAATGAGAAGGACACCAGTTGGTGAAGGCCGTTTTAATGATTATCAAGCACTGAAATCCTGTAATATATAATTTTAATTAAAAGCAGTTAGTTAGTGTTATATTGATTTTTCTATGACTCGACTGTGCAAAGCAAACTTTTCCTAGGTTAATATCAAAACACACTTCCTCTCCCTCAAAGGTTTCAAGGTATTAAAACATTCTGGAAAGGAAACAAACATAAACCATACAAATCATGTCTTCTGTAAAATCTTTCAGGATGGGTAATAGAAAGGTTGCTATACTGTGAAAGAGTGGTAGCCAACTAGCCACCGTTACAGAAATAATGCAAGGCTTGCTATTGCAACCTTCCTAAAAGGTCCTGCATATATTACACTCCACTTTTGTACTGGACTCTAGGGCTGGTAAGTATTTCACTTTTCTATAGGCTGAACAATTTCAAATTTCTAGGTGCCATTATCAAGCTTCCAGAATTTTTGTGATGAAATACAGAAACACACACCCCCAGCTCAGCTGAAGACACCAATTTAGACTTGTTCTGGTCTAGTTAGAGGTATACAATGCGAACACAGAAATCCAAAAATCCAAATCAGTTCGCATGCAATGTGAAGCCAATCCATGGCTTAGTAAAAGCACTTTGCATCTGCACTTATGTGAGCTAAGTCATAGTTTGGGTTAGTGTATCATCAGAACACAGGCTCAGGATTTCTCTCACTCCAGAGAAACCAGAAGCTGTAACCAAGTTTTGGTTTACATGTCAAACCATGGCTTTGCTCATAGCAGTGCAGCAGCAGCATCAGGATCAGAGGAAGAGCAAAGCAGTTGTGATTTATTCATCAGAAACCTGCATGTTCATGCATTGCAAAAAGCCATAGTTTGGCTTTGTATTATATATGAAACAAACTGTTGCATTAAGGTTCTGTATTACCTGTAAGTACAGATCTATAACTAATCATGGCAATGGGTAAAAAGTAACGAATTCAAGCATTCAGCAACTAGGAAGAAGTAGTGTATGGCTGAAGCCAAAGGAAACATACTTCTGAGGACACATCTGAAGGGTAGAAAAAGTTTACAGTTCAAATAATGAGTTATTACTGCCGGGGGGGGGGGGGGAGAAGCAGTACCATTAAAATGTAAAAGCAGCTGATGATTCAACACTTCTTAAATGCCTGAAATAGTTAAAAAAGAAAGAAAGATACAGTGCCTAGTTTTTGTTCTCTGCATAGACCAAGTCTCTTGTTTATCATCCCAGGAGAGTGCAGAGAACATTCTCTTAGAGTTAACTGACTGAACAAATGGAACAGGTACCTGAAAGTTACCTTTTAAACTCATCTCTTCCACAAATTTCAGTTAGCAGGAGTCTACTTTTCAGTTACTAAGTTAATGGTTAAATGATTAACACTATTACCAAATATATTGTGTTTAGTTGTGGCTGTTGCCTTAGTTCACTGAGATAACAGGTGTTCAATAAAATTGATTTAAGGGCATGGAAAGATTTCACCAGGGAATAATATGGACTAATGTTAAAAACATGTTTGTCCTCTTCTTTTAACATAAGAAACAGGGTGGGTTCAAAAACAGACAGGACATATGCTATTTGCCCAACAGTGTATAACTGCCACTAAATCTACCTCATATACTGTACAGTAGTTTAAGAGATTAGAGAGATATTTGGAATATTCACAGGTTACACTCCTATACCCACTTACATGGGAGTACGCCCCAGTGAACTCAGTAGACTTCTGTGTAGACATGTACAGAATTGCACAGGAAAATGACTATACAGTAAGTGGAAAAAGTGTTACAGTAAGTAAGCTGTTCTTATTTTTAATTTGTAAGCCACCTTGAGTCCTTGTCAATGTGGGGTATAAATAAATAAATAATAATAATAATAATAATGTAAGGAAAAATGCAATAAAAAATAGGCTTTCCTTTCATTCCAGTTTTATCATGCAGCCAAAAGTCTGTGTGTGCTGCAGAGGAGAAATGAGATATTTCTGGCTTCCCAGAGAATCAAGTTGCCCATATATGTTGGCCATTTTTGCTTAGAAGAAAGCCTTATCTGGGATGTACATTTTAAACTCCCTTGACAATTTATCATTCAAGTCAATGTCAAAGCATATATACAAATATATAGGCTACTTGCCTGATCTAGTATGGCTAGTACTATACTCCACTTACCCCTTCTCCACATTGCCTTATCTTGGCTCTCATCACTTTGCTAGCACTGGGGAAGACAACTGAGCATGATGAAATTCTATGCTGCTGAAATGTGCTTGACTATTTCAACCATGTGGCTTAGGCCATGTGCATGGTTTTCCCCCAAACACTCCTAATGGCAGTAGCTCCTGTGATGCAGTGTATATACCTGTTATGTGGGTGGTGGTGGTGGGGAGCTTTGTTAATACCACATGATTCGTATCCCAAGTACCAGGACCATCCCATTGCCTTTGTCACCAATTTGCCTGTCTGCAACCCCATTTGGAGAGACTACAACACTGTGGCATACTTACTGCTTTTTACTCCCTAGAGATGCAGATACTAGAACCTATCTATCACTTTCTACCAGGTCCTATGTCTATAACGTTCTTATTCAAAGAATAAGTGTGGTGCACAGCAAGACACATAAAAATATCAATATGGCAACAGAAAATATAAAGCAAAGCTGAACAAGAAATTCTAGAAATAATTACAAAGCAATACATTGGGAGTGAGAAAGCTCTCTACTTAATCTCCAAGGTGCCTATTCCAGAATGCTGTGTAGGGGCAAAATTTGTGACATACCCCACCAAACTCAGCCCATCAGCCATTTATTGCTGCCTGCTAGTGGCATGGTAAGTTTCCTGTTTCTGCTGCTTGTCTAGGACAACAAAACAGCTCATCATCTGAGATGCAACTGGACTAGGTTCAGCTTGCAAATCATGAAGCATGACTTGTGTAAAACTTCCACAATATCTATATGTTTACATTTCATTGACATTATTTTACACGCTGCCCCTACTATCTGCACGCTTACTATCTGAAAAGTCATGTCCCCATGAAAATAATTACGCCCAAACCTTGCTATGCACTCCACAGATTCACTTATCTGATTGCTGATTGGCTACAGCCATTGCAGGAAGAAACCATGGGGGGGGGGGGGAGAAAACAAATCCCACAGTTGAATTTCCATAGGAAATTATAGACTAGTTATGTGAATGCTTGCCTAACCAATGATTTCACAGAATGCATTGTGTTTGGTAAGCGGGACCTACGTGTATTTTAAAGTCTGAAAAGTTTAAAAGTAATATTAAGAAATGAAATAATTCCATTTTACTTCATTTCTAAAGTTTGGAAAATGGACTTCCAGACTAAGATAATTTGAGGCACATGTTTGATAAATCAACTAAGACTATTAAGTTCTAATCAGTCACAAAGATTCCCTGAGTTAACACGCAAACTTAGTGTAACTAATGACATGAGTGTACGGGTAGAATTCAACACTGTGCTAGTACAATTGTTCCATAAGTACAAGCATTTGCCCCAGAGCAGATTTGGGTGGCTTGGCGGGGTGTGTGTGTGTGTGTGTGTGTGCAGTCCCACTGCACTAGTGGGAGTCCTTGAACTAACCAGGTAAGTTGAATACAGCACTATCAATGGGGTTGAATTAACAGTAAATATGGAAAGGATAATGCTGCAAGACTGAAATATTATGCACAAACTTATCAGCAAGTCTCACTGCTCTCTTGTAAATCAGTTCCATTTATTTGTTAGGGGTTTCCCCCCACCTAGTCTACTTTCATTTTTACTTAGTTTCAAAAGAGGGAGAAGATGTTTTTCGGCACCAACCTAAAAGGGCCACTATCAAGTTAAAAACAAAACAAAAATAGGAAGGGAAAAATGTGGTTAAAGATGAAATAGAACTTAAGATCGCTTGTATATATTGCAGCACACACTGGATTCACTCAACTTCCAAATTGCTATTAAGTGCCCAACTGATTTGTACTTCTTTTGTTGGCCTAAAACCTGAAGGAAAAAACATTTTATTTACTTTGAGCAGATACACAAGGCAGATCCTGAAGCTTAATTTATCATAAAGAAATTATTCATATGCTTTCACAAAGAATCTCGCCACAGCAATCATGTTAAAAAAGGTAAGTGTGTTTTTCAACTTATAATTTTGACAATCTATAGTTCATGGGGTTGACAAACATGAACTATAGATTCTCTCTAGAATGTAAGGTGATAATGGGTTCTTATGGAAAGCAGGAATTAGAAGTCAATATCATTCCACACACCTGCTGAGATAACAAGGATTATAGGACAGCATATACATTCATTAAAATTAATGCAATTTTTGTAATTATCTTCCATCCTAAGATTTTAGGAGCAAAATATGCTAATCAGCACTTAATTTTTATCTAGGCACAGTGGCTGAAGTCTATTGTTGCAAATATTCTACAGCAGAATATTGCAATAACTGTTATGTAGTTAACAACAACACATTGTTGGGAATCATCTGTCATGATAGCCAACATATGTTGAATAATACTTACCTGGTTTCAGACTCCCATATACATCACCCAACACTTGAAATTCAGTTCCAAGATATGATTACCACCTCCCACCTTACTAACATGAACACAGGGCTTAATACTTTTGGTGTGCACATGTTCACACATTCAGCCAAACTTACCATCGCTCTCTGCCCTGACTAGCAGGGACATGCCCTTCAGCCTTTCCACATAGCCAGAGGACACATGTCCAGTGCCTCGGTCGTCCCACTGTCTATCTTCATTCAGTGTATAAACCTTCACCCTTCTCCGGGTATCAGTCATCCTGCCTCTTGCCACACCACAGGGGACTACAATAGTTGACTGAGCTGGTGTGCAGGGGGGGGGGGCTTTGCCCCCCTCAGTGAAGGGGAGCAGGAAAGAGAATAAAAAGTCTCAGACGGTGTCCCACAACAGTCCTCTTTATGGCAACTGCTAGAGTAGCTGCTGCATCACCCCTAAAAGGGGCCAAAGCAAAAGTGGGGGGGGGGGAGGAAAGGAGGGAAGGGAAGCAAGTCTTAGGGGAACACAGAACTTATTCAGTGAAGAAGCAGCACTGCCTTGCAGGATGCGAGATAACAGGAAGTAGCAATGGCAGAGTTGAGAGGGGGAAACAGAAGGACGAGGAGGGTCTTAAAAGAAAGGTGTGAAAAGGGTCCCGAATTACAAAGGTGACTAAAAGCGTAGAAATTAACCGGGTGTGCCAATAAGGCAGGCTGGCATGAAGAAGTGGAGGAGCGGGGCGCAGATCGGAGGCGTAAGTGACAGAGCAGCGGGAGGAGAAAGCGGGGGGATCAGTGGTGACAGGAAAGGTAAGCGGGGGGATCAGCTAGTCGCAACCGACAGGCCCCCCCCCAATAAAAAACAAACCGAAAAGTGCCACGGGAGCGGCGGGAAGGGAAACCCGTAAGGATAGATCGGGAGACGTCTTTAGGGGGGAGCGGAAGGCGAAGCGGGGGGGAAACAACGGGCAAAGCGGACCGGTTCGTCCTCTGCCCGGCTCTATTGTGCGCGGAGCTCCCAGGCCCGAAGCCCCTTCTTTCGGCCAGACTAGGGGACCGAGACGGAGCCGCCCCTTCTTCGCAGAGGAGGCCGCGGCCTAAGCCGGCGGCGGCGGTGGGGGGACGGTGCTGCTGCTGCTGCTGCCTCGCTGGGCGTGGGCGGGGAGAGGAAGCGGGGCCGGGCGGGCCGGGGGCGCGCAGGCGGCCTCACGGCCCGGTCTCCCCCATCAGCTCCCCTCACGAGCAGCGGCGACTCAACTCCCAGCCCGACTCCTCCGCCGCCATGTTCTTCCTGCTCCCGCTCTCGCCGCCGGTGCTGAGTCCCGGGCTCGAGCCTCGTCGCCCGCGGCGCTCCTCCTGCTCCTTCCCACGCAGCGGGCCGAGGCGCGGGGCCCTTTCGTGGGCGGGCTGGGTGGCTGAGGCGCTGGCCGTTCGTGTCCTTCTGTCTCAAGGCTCAGTCACGGCGCGGCCGCCATCTTGGTTTCACCTCTTCGCTGCGCGCGCGGGGTCTCCGAGCGAAAGGCAGCACGGGCCGGCCGCGAACATTTAAAGGGCCAGCAGCCTGGCAGAGGCTCCGCTCGGGATGGTGGCTCAACCTGAAGGCGCGCTTCTTCGCACTTTGGACTCCCTTTCCTCCGAAGAGAAGCGCAGGAAACTCTCCCGGAGGGAAAACGACACGTTTTGTTCCGCGTAGGAAAAGCCGCGTCTGAAGCAGCCTGTAGAGAAGCGAGTTCCGTGAAGGTGGTCCGATTCACACGTGACATTCAGGAGGGCGAGCTTAGCCCGGGGCCGTGAGTGCCTTGTAGCGTGCACCGAAATTTGTGGGTGCCCGGTCCCTTCATGGGGGATTTTTGTGGGTGCTCGAGCACCCCGAGCCCCAGCGAGTTGGCAGCTCTGGTGACATTCGTGGTATAACAAGGAGTTTGTCGTGCCAAAGAAGACCTGTGTAGGCGAGGGGGGAAATCACAGCTGGGTCTCTCTGCCACCTGCACGTGTTCTGGGGATCCATTGCCAGTTCCAGTGATAACTCCCCTCCCCCCAAAGAGAGCCTGTGGCAACCGCGCGCGCACTTCCGTACAGATGCGCTCTGGGCATCCCGCTGGAACTGCGCCTGGAAGCGGCAACTTGCGCGGCCGCCTCCACGAGTTCAACAGCTGGTGTTCGATTTCACCCCACTGCGCACAGCCCCAGGGCATGCTAGCTGATATCCCGGGATAAATCAAAAGTGCCAGACACAAGAGGTTAAAAGTATTACCTCGGGCGCTCCCAACATTTAGCGCACAAGTGGAATAAACAGCTCTGCTGACTTGCAGGTAAGTGCACAGTGCTGCAGACCTGGGAGGCTGTGAAGCTCACTGGGTGACCTCCGGTCTAGCAGCCTAACACACCTCACAGGGTTTAGAGGTTAAAAATGAGGTGGGGGGCAGAGCCTTGAGGTCCTTGGAGGAAGGTGGAATATGGATGTAATAAAAATAATAACAGTTGTCTCTCCCCTGCTTACAATTACATATTCAAAACAAAAGTCAGTGACGCTCAGAGAAACCTCTGCAAAAGTAGCACATCCTGTATACAACACTAACAAGTTCTTCATAGTTTTGCTGATCAGAAGTCAAAAAGGCCAGCCTTAAACACAAAATGTAACCAATGTGGTTCTCTTCAGAACCAGCTCTCATCAGGCCCAACCACTTTGTCTACTGGTCAGTATCTGGGGATACTGGTTAGTATCTGGGGAGCATCCTGTTTAGCTAATAAGAGGCTGGCAATTCCTGGTTGGGGGTGTTTATTATTACTATTACTGCATAAGTATAAGTGCAATGGTGGAGACTCAGACAACCACAGGCTCCAGTATCACTGACTATTCTGAATAAACAGTTTGCACATTGTTCTGAAGAACCCCACTTAGTTTATCACCAAGATGCCTATGGTCACCCAACGATTGCTTGAGTAACTCAGCACAACGGCAACAAAAGCCAAAAAGAATATTTTTGTCGCACCATTGAGTTGTACCAACTTTTGTGACTGAATATTCAGAGATCATTACGAATGGGTCCAGAAAACGTTTCTTGACACCACCACAGATAACTCTTGAGTAAGATAAGAACATAGGAAGTGCCTTGCTGGTTCACACCCAAAGCTCACCAAGTCCAACATCCTGTTCTCACAGTGGCCGACCATATACCTATGAGAAGTGCACAAGCAAAACATTCAGAGGCATACTGCTTCTGAAGATGACAGAGGCTGCAAAATAATAGAATCAGAGTTGGAAGGGGCCCTGTGGGGGGTCATCTAGTCCAAACCCCTGAAATGCAGGTATGTCAACACACAGTCCCCCATCCTATTTGGAGTGGATGATATTGTTGAGATGCAGGGTGGCACCTCCTCAATTTTTCTGGTTGTGACTTACTACTTTCTGAATCTAGTAGGAAACTCAGGCTATGTCTGGAATCAATGCTAAACCGTTGTTTAGTGTTACAAGAAAAATCCTGTCCTCTTCCTACTGGACTTGTTCTTCCAGCACCTGAGATCAGAAGCTTCCACTTCCACTTTAGATTAGCTAAACAGCCTCGACCCAGTATACCTGAAGGAGCATCTCCACCCCCATCGTTCTGCTCGGACACTGAGGTCCAGTTCTGAGGGCCTTCTGGCGGTTCCCTCACTGCGAGATGTGAGGTTACAGGGAACCAGGCAGAGGGCCTTCTTGGTGGTGGCACTCACCCTGTGGAATGCCCTCCCATCAAATTTCAAGGAAATAAACAACTACCTGACTTTTAGAAGACATCTCAAGGCATCCCTATTTAGTGTAGTTTTTAATATTTAATGTTTTATTCTGTTTTTAATCCGTTAGGAGCCACCCAGAGTGGCTGGCGAAACCCAGCTGGATGGGCAGGGTATAAATAATAAATTTATTATTATTATTATTATTATTATTATTATTATTATTATTGCTTCTGTTTAGCATATCCTCTGAACCCTACATAGTGGTCAGTCAGCCGAAATGTTCAACTAACTCCCAAGACGTTTGGGAGCCGAGGTACAACTGTAATAGCAAGGATCTTTTAGATCGGGGATGGGGAATGTGTGGTCCTCCAGATGTTGCTGGACCACAGCTTACAACATCCCTAACCACTGGCCATGATGGAGTTTGAGTTGAACTATATCTGGACTAGAGTGTCACAGGTTCCAAATGCTTGTCCTAGGTCATCTTTCTATCAAATTCTTAGACTACAATTCCTATCGGCTTTCAAACCTTTTGTGAAAAACATCTGAAGGGCATCAGATTGTGGAAAGCTGTTCTATATGCTGAACAGCTGAAATGCTTTTTATTAAAGCTTAGTATTTTGATTACAGGTTTTTTTAAAAAAAGGTTAAGGTAAAGGACCCCTGGACAGTTAAGTCCAATCAAAGGCAACTATGGGGTACAACGCTCATCTCACTTCAGGCTGAGGGAGCCGGCGTTTGTCTGCAGACAGCTTTCCAGGTCATGTGGACTAAACCTCTTCTGGCACAATGGGACACTGTGACGAGTACCAGAGCACATGGAAACACCATTTAATTAATTAATCAAACAGTGTTTGATTACAACATCATAGTGTGGTCATGGTTTTATTTATCTGCATTATAAGGCTTTTTCAGCAATTAGCTGAGTAGCAGTTTTCCTAGTCATATCAGTTCAGTTTGAGTAAGGGTTTCAGTCCTAGTCTACTACCTGTAGTTTAGAGTAGACTACCCACAAAAACAATTTTATGAACAACTTCTTTTGATCAGCCAGGTGAGCACATTCTGGTTTGTAATCATTAACATATTAATTGCTCATATGACAACACCCCATTTTATTCTAACCAAGGCTAAATTGGATAAACTAAGGCTGTTTGTTTTCTTTATATAGTATCCATCCATCAAGTGTTTAGAGAGGAAAACAGGAGCCACCCACTTAGACTTACACATCAGATGAGCACATGCAGAGCTGTGTACTGCTGAAACAACATAATCAGCGGCCATAGGACACAGCAGCTGGCTGCATCTCTCCCCAACAAAAGTTATTATTGTCTCTAGAAGAAAACAACAAATCCTGGCATGAGTAAACAGTTAAGTATGAAGATGGCTCCCATAATCTTTCCCCAAAAGGGAGGCAATCGATTTTTACTATTCTCCCCTGTGGAGCCCCCAAGCTGCTCTTGATGCCCCTTGCCAAACCTCTACAGCAAATTTAGTGAGGGGCTTAGGAAGGGAGAGGAAGAATCACCAAAAATTGCTTCCTCCTTGTTCCACTGACAGAAGCCTTATAATGAGCAGAGTGACACTGTTGGATACAACCCTCTGACTCTTCCTTTCTATATGGTGAAAGTGCTTCATGGTTCAAAGTCAAACATTTTAAAAACACTGGTCAAATCTGAAACAAAACTTTCAAACATACATGCCATTCTTAGATGTGCTTTAACAACCCAGCCTCTCAAAGACTCCTGAAAATATTGCCTTTAAAACCAAGGTAAGTTCAGCAACTGAATTCCACCGCAAGAGCCAAACATTTTAACCTAAATGTTACAGGTTTGTTCTATACCGCAGAAAATATCCTACCTTTTAGGAGATAAGCAATTGCCACAACAGCCTTAAATATTAAGTGTAAGCAGCTTCAAGGAAGTGATGTAGGGGGCGCAGCTGTTCCTTATTACTGAAGTTTTTTATTAGTTATAAATTTTGAGGACACTTTCGTAGTGCCTTGTTAGTTTATATTGTGTTGGATGTTGTTTCTGCTTTATGTGAAATTGTACAATTTAAAATGTAAATAAAGATAATCAATTAAAGACTCCTCCCAGAGTGGGGAACAGGAACTGATAAGGGGGGCAATCAACATTCATTAAGTTCAACGAGACTATTTGCATAGTAACAAGAAACAATGGGGCAAGGTGGAAGTTTCTAATAAAAGCTATAAGGGACCTTTACTGATTGAGAGTTTATTCCAAGGACATAGAACGAGGCCATGGGGATGAACATAGTTGGAGGATATATCATCATATTAAATGCTTTGTTCAACCACTGCTTTCATTCTGCTTCCAGCTGCTTGTGGAAAGCCAACACACCAGTAGCTTTACAGCATCCTAGTGTGGAAACAGCCTCACTTGTTTTGCCTTGCAAATGCAGAAGAACTTGGAAAGTCCTGCAGAGA